ACTGCTCTCACTGTACAAGGACCTAGTAGGTTCTTCACACAGATGGTATATATATATATATATCAAACACAGGTCAAAGCAGCTGGAGGGCAACAGGGCTGTGCCCTGCATAGAGTACCGGTCTCCCCCTCGACCCGGATCTCTTCTGCCCTGAACCGTAGAAGCTAAACCTCGTATACCCAGGAGGGACCCGTCGCAAGTCTGTTTCAAAAAGCCTGCTAAAGCCGGAGCACTGTAACGACATACAGCCTCAGGCTGGAAATGGAAAAAGCACATACTACCCACACAAGGCCAATAGTTCTATTGCGGGTCTACTGCCTCAAGTCCTCTATCTTCGGCATCACTGTTGGTCTTCATTGATCCTGAGATGCAAGCTGCCCTTCGCCTACTGGCACGGACATGAGGGATCAACCTCTACGCTGCCAATCATTGAAGGATTTTGGGGCGAGGTGCTCAGGGCTGAGGATAACTCACAAAATTCAGAGTGTGAGGTGTTGCCGGGTTTAGTCTAGATCTTGTGTTTTGGGCTTCGGGTCTAGGGCGGTCTCTGCAGTGTCTTCAGAAATAAGGACGAAAATTGGGAACACGCACGGCCCAGAAACTTGATGCAGCCCCCTGAGGCCGTGCCACTGTTCTAGCACCGCTTCCAGACCAACGGACCTTTCGGAACCCCTGCCAATATGTCACCAATCATCATAAGAACCACAATACAAAAATAAGGCTAACAATACCAATCATAGTATGATCTATTGTGTAAAGCTAACAATAATACATGTTAGTCTGTTCAGTCTCCAGCTCGATACCCTGGAAACCGTTCACCCTTGAGAATCCCTCAAGCCCCAAGAGCCGAGGGGTTTGGGAGCATATTCTAGCATCAACATTGAGGGACTGCAAGGAAGTATATTATTTATATACGAAACTGAAAGCCCAGCGTCAAGCGTAAGAGTCCCCAGGTCCCAAAGTGCTCGATGGTCACGGCGAGCCATGCGATGAAGCAGCAGGCCCTGTTAAGCTCCCCTTTTAAAGGGCGTTGTAGGTTTCGGGTTTAGTCCCATAAAAGAAAGCGCTGTCTTCCTCCTAGAATTCATTGTTCGTCTCAACCCTAAACCCTCAGAAAGGACAAGCACATTATGCTAACGAAGTCAGGGACATGCCGAAGACGTAGAAGGACCAATCCATCCGAATGATGGTGCCCATGAACTCCCACCTCGGTCGAGTTTAGGGCTGAGGATCTCAGGGCTTTTCCATTGTGGGGTTGTGTTCGGGTTGGGGTCGAGGGCTCGTAACGTAGCGGGCTTTAATGACTGGAATATGGTTTTGGGCTATAAATTGAAATTATACCATAAATATGATAGGGAACCTTAAAAAATAGTATAGGGTCCCGAACTGTCAACTCGCATGTCCAAGCGTCTGACCCACTCCAGACAACGCAGAAACAGAAGCACGTGCACTGCCCCAAATCCAAACCTCTTCCCCAAAGAAGCAGACACGCATAGCACACAGGAAGTGGGTTGTAATACCTTTAGGCAATAAGTTCTAAGTGCCTCAGAAGAAGGACTCCAAAAGGGCGAATATGAGCTCCACATTTTGGTTTGGGGGTGGTCGGGGTGATCCAAAAAGATACCCTTGCAGGGGGCATGGCCCAGACGGCTGTTCAATTGAAACCCTATGCCCTACACCTGGTGCTTTAGGGCTTAAGGCTTACAAGACTTAGGATATGTAGGGCGTGGGGATAGGAAACCGCTGCGCCACATGTAGGATCTCTACTGCCATTCTAATAAGCAACCTTAATTAACGGACATACTGCTTCTTCAGAACAGCCGTATCGAGCCCCTGGGCTGCTACCCAAAACCCGAGATCCTAAACCGTTTCTCTATGACTCCATGAGCGGAGGGGCAAGCTGAAGCCGAACAGTCGCAGGAGCAAGACCTGCAAGCCCACGAGAACCTGAGCCAGCCTACACTTTGGAGACATCTCCGGTTTCGGCGGGGGTCTAGGGCTCTGAGTTTATGGCCAAACTCACAAAGTTGAAGAGGAGGGTGGGCGTCCTGCCTAAACCCTAGAGCCTAAACCCCAATTCATTGAACTTCCCTTTATGAAGTGGACTTCTTGCAACAGAAGCAGATCGGTTGAGGGCGGGAGGGCCCGGATGTCTATGAATTAGGGCTTAGGGTTTAGGGAATTTCAAGGAGTTTGGGTTCAGGGTTCAGGGTTTAGGGAATTTCAAGGAACGGTCGCTTCAATCGCCACTGCGATGGAGTTGCCCACCATGCCATCAAAATACTCGCTGCGCGACTCTAATCGGAAGTGCAGGAAGAAGTCGCGGTTACCGGCAAATGCTCCGGAATGTAAGAGGCTCGCCAGAATCATATAAAGCAGTGGAATGCAGACTTCACAGAGCTCCATCGCAGCCAAGCAATCCAGTGAATGTGTCCTAAGCTGCTCAGCACGAGACTCATAATTATAAACCTTGAAATGCAATGGGAAATTGACGAAAGGGCCCCAAAGCCACCAACCCACAACTCTAGACAATAGATCAGGAAGGCGTCAGCTTCTTCAAGAGGCCAACATCCGCAACGCTGATCTCGGTTTTTCTCATCTCTGCAAAGCTTTGCGCCTCTGCCTGTCGCAGGACGGCTTTCAACCTCTGCCCCACCTGTCAGGCGACAAAACGGAGGGACAGTAACACGAGCAGCAGATGTCATGATGACCAGCCCATTATTGGCAACAGAGAGGTAAAGCTGAAATGTTATGACGACAAGTGCTGAAGTGCATCCCACCTTTG